TTTTTAATTTTTTCACTAATTCCTGACCTGTATTGATTTGAAATAGCTCGAATAATTGCTGCAGAATCCGACAGAATAACAACAGTTTTTACAGTAGGATTATCAAAAACTGGTATATGTTATAAAGCAACATGTACAACCTTTGCGTCACCGTCAAAACTAGTTTTGAAATAGCCAATAGGTAGGTTTGGAAGTAGATTTCCCAGAAAATTCCAGCTCCAGAACTTTCAGTACTGTCAGTATAAGACCATTCTGTATAAACCCATATGGTCAAAAGTCGAGACAGTATCTGCTTCCAAAAGTGTCTGTTCCCAAAATATAAACAGCACCAGAACAATTACCAGATTTAGAAACCGGTACATATCAAGAGAAAAAGAAGGATGTTTGATTTCGAAAGGATTTAGAAAGAGAAGGGAAGTGCTTAGAAAAAGCTAAAATGGAATATGGTCTTCTCTTTGAAACGAGCTCTATTAACCATTCCTAGATCTTAAGTCTGCTGCATACTGTTTCCAAAAATTTATAATAAAGAAGTCTAATAAGCTTCTCATGAAGTTTTATGGCCGGCAGAAGAGGTATTTCCTTCCTGATATGTACTTCGCCTGTGAAGAGCAAATGGACATCAATTGGATCAGCTCAAAAAGCTCCCGTTATGATCCATTGAGCCTGATTTTGTATACCTTCTAGTTTTCCATTAAAGTATTTATCGTAGTTATAAGGGGCTCACAACAATATTTTATAACAGACTTAAAAAAACCCTATAATATAATATACAAACAAGTTGTTCTTATTTTTGCTATCTTCGTAACAAAATACCTTTACTTCTTTTGCTTTAATTTAAGCGCTACATTATTCACTTAATCAAAAACAGGTGCTTAGAAAATTATTCTTCAAGACAACCATCCTACGATGGTTGGCTCTCCCACGCTAAGGGATAATTAGTTGACCAATTAAATTACCTTAATTGGAAGTAAAATAGAAATCTAACCATCTGAACTAATTGCGGCTACAACCTTCTCGAATAAGTTGGCTGCATTATTATGTTTAATACACATTAATTTAAGTCATTAATGTAATGTTAAGTGTGTAGGATTTTTTAATTAGGATGTTTGAAGCAGGAAACGTGAAAGATATGCAGTGCCATCACCGGGATTCAAACTCCGGATCTTCCGATTGCCAGTCTGATTTACTTCCAGTTACACCACGGAAGCAAATCATGGAGAGGTAGAAAATGCCTTATACATGGTAATTTCGTTATACTTATGATGATTCAAAATATTACATTTATGGCTAAAAATATCGCTTTATCGTCTAAAAAAAGCCATGCAAAAGGGGACAAAAAGACTACAACAAAGTTGACCAGCAGATGAATGGGAAATAACTGACGGCAGTTAACCTGCAGTATGTAAACAGGGATCTGATATTACTCCACCACGTTTATTAAATCTGCTTTTTTTAAAAGAAGTAATAGCTAAGCAGTGACTCAAGGAATATATAAAGAACAATAAGCCTATATGCATACGTAATTATTTTCCATTAATATTTGTATAGCTAATTATCAAATATGTTAGGCCAGTCTATGTATTTTATACCTTAAATGAAACTGATTTAACAGTTTTTTTTAAATCCCGTACTTGTTACTTTCTATGTTATTTATGAAAAATTAAAAACACATAAATTTAAAAACAATTTTAATTTTATTTGGCTTTAGAAAGAAAAGCAAGCGCCCGGATAACTGAAGTTCTACTATGGATAAAATTAAGTAAACAGCTACTTTTTAGTTTTTCGACATTTTTTTATACTAAAGTTTAGAGAACAAAATCGTCTAAAAAAGTTTTTCTAGACATTAAGTGCATATAATTGAGGTGATATGTTCATTTGAAGGAAGAGAAATAACAAATCAACAACATTCAGTTCATTTGAATTTTAATCAAGACTTTTGCTATTATTCCCATATTGCAGACTCATAAATGGAGACATAGTTATTTTATACAATTTCATATAATTTAAGATTAGGCAAAAAAGGCAACCTTAATTTGGCGCAGATTTTGCAGTCGTACTAAGGCAGCTTTTTTGCCTATTTTTAAATTTTACACTATTGTATATCTCTTCCAATATAATTTCATGCAATACATTAGATCTGGTATAAAGACCGCTCATAAAAAAATACACGGTTTTAGAGATATTTTAAGACAAAAAATTATATTATAACTTGAAATTCTTCATCTATTTAAAATTTATTCCTGAATAAGTAAACAACGCATGCAAAGTCAATACATGAATTCAAATGGTATCATTATTTTCATAACTAATTTATTTCATTTTCTGAATAATGTAATATATTCAGAGAAGAGCAACTTTGTTTTGCAAAAAATGTAAAGTAACACACAATGCATAAACTTTAAATGAATAACTGATTTCAATTTTAAGGTATCTGCCTACGTTCGGAGCACTTTTTTTTTAAAACATAGAATTCTGATGAAATATATATTTATTTAGTCAAAATATGATATCAAATTATGAAAATAGGTAAATTTTTAGGAATAATTTTATAAATTTTTGAAATATATGCAATTTTTTGCAAATTTTTAGGAGAATTTAGCACTTACGTTAAATGCCGTATATTTTTTCTCACAGCATATATTTCAATTTTTTTTATACTGTATACTACTACAACACTTATCTGTGTTATGAACTAAAATGTATATGATATTTCTAAAATTTACTAAAATATGTGTAATTACATGAAAAAACACAGTTTTTTGTAAAATATTTCTTATCGTTTTATATAGAAATACTTATAAAACAATCAAATTAATAAATATTACTTAGATTGTAGCTTAAAACCTAATAAATAATATAGAAAACATTTTAGTGAAATTTAATAGAGATATCTTTAGAACATTTTGAGTAATTTCATTTCTTGTATGTAAAAACACTAGAAAAATTAGTTTTTCAGAAAACGCATTTAAAGATTTCACATTAACAGAAAAACTGTTCTGTTGTATTTACACACTTAAAATTCTCCACATTTGTACATCACACCCTCCATATCTTTATACTTAAGTAATTTTGATTTCCTATTTGATTTTAATTTTTTTCTGGCTATTTTCGAAATGAGCGACGAATGAATTTTCGAGTTCTTTATTCTTTCGTTATCAATTCCAAAGTAATTTTTAATCATTTCTTGTTCAATTGATATGCCTAAATGTTCAAACACAGGAAGTAATCCAAGATACCCTGAATTAAAAATTAAAACTGCTATATATGCACCCAGCAACATAGTCTTTATACCTAATCGCAATGTTGCCAGACCCAGTTAAAAAAACCGCAATGTTGCCAGTCCCAGTTCAAAAAATTAAGGCAAATAATTATTGCCAGAAACAAAAAAAAGTACCCAGAATTAAAATGAAATGTTTTAGCACAATTTTACACACAAACAGGTAAAAAAAAAAAAAAAAACACGGATAACACAATATAGTTTACCTTTAAGTTGAGCCTTTTAAATAGCACTTCCGGTCTTTCTGCTTTCATTTCCAGTGCAGTTAATTGGCTATACCTTCTCTTCTAATTATCACAAACGTAAAAATGAACCATTTTCGGAATCCTACAAAATTGACCTTTCAAATTGGGCAATAAAAAAAATCGAATTTTTTCGCCGAAATCGTTTTTTTAACGTAGGCAGATACCTTAAGCAACAACACGAAAAATCTGTTAATGCTCAGAAAGAGCAGCATATGTCTACTATTATAGGACTCAGGACAAATCCTTCATAATGGGAATTTAAATTACATTTAAATCACTATTATGAAGAATTCGTTGTGTTTCCTGTTGGAGTAGATACATACTGCGTGTTTGCTTTCATTATAATCATTTTAATTCCTAGTAAGACACATATAAAATCTCACACTAAATTTTAGTTCATTTTCATATACAAAGCTTAAAATGGCAAAAAAACATTAAAATATCTATAAAAATATAGTAAATTCCTATGCCATGCTTGGTTAAATTTCTTCTAGCCGTTCTTGCTGTCCGCTTTTTCTTAAACAAACTTTTAATGTTTCGCATTTTTCAGTCATGTGATTGAAAAGATAAATAACTAGCTTAGTCAACTTTGTGTGGAAGATGTTAACATAAAAAAGCAAAAATGTAAGCACTGCTTGATGACATTTAGTATGTTTTAAGAGAAGTATTTATTAATGATATATATGCTTATAAAATTTCAAAGATAAGTAAACTTTTTTCTGCAAAGCCGAGAAATCTAATGTTTATATTTCGGAGATTTTACAAGTTGGTTTAGGTAATTTATTATAGCAAAACATGAAAAGTTTTTCTTATAACGTGCTACGAAATGTTGTAAAGCAAACTTACCTATCTTGATTGACAAGTATTAAATTTTGATGGTCATATTTATTAAATAAAACTTTAAATACATAAGATGGAAAATGTTTTATAATCAAAATTTGTGAGAGAGCAAATGTCTTAGTGAAAATTCTACGATGAGTGTGAAATTATAATAACTGACAAGAATTTGCCTCGGTTTTCATTTGTCTAAATAAGTAAACGTAAACCTGTGTAATGAAAATTTAAGCTATGTTAATTTTATTACAGTTTGTTAGTTTTCTGAAATTTATTGAACACTTTGGAATTTACGTTATTACAATATAAAAAAAACTTAAGACTGGCATCCTCTTACCAAATACACAATCGTATGCAACAAAACCTCTTACTGTAGAAGCATCTCATATTGCAATGGAGTTCTGGATACCAATAGTTAAATTGTTAAATATTATATTAGTGTAATATTCATAGGTTTCTTTAACTTAAGAAGCTTAGAAAGAGAGTAAATATATTCTTGCTGTGAACAATCGTTTCACAATGCTTTGAAGACAATTCAATAATTTATAGAACCTAACGTGACTGCAATCGGAAGAAATTGAAAAATTTGAATATCAGCTTCTTTCTGCGAAAACAAAATGCAAATTTAGAAACGAAAAACTTACCAGGGTAAATCGCTGAAACGCTTGAAAACTCCGCTCGAACATGCGTTTGACATTAAAAGGGTAGAAGAATGGGAGCGTAGGCGTCTTATAGTAGAAGGTCGCTTTTCGAGTCCCTTAATCAAGCGTCATAGCCATACAGAAAAAAAAATGAATGAGAATTCGAGGTCAAAGGTTGCATTCAACGAACCAATTTTATCTCTCATTAAAAACATGACAAATGCAACCTACAATTGTATTAAACCGTATCCGGAACAAAATAGCCTCGTTTACTGAAGGCACAGCTTAAATATATGCAACAATGTTTCACAGTAACTAAAAAATTAAAGTCTCTGCTACGGAAGAAGATAATTTGAATTTCGTAACAAAATATTTTTATGTATGATCTTGCTAAATCGCATTTGTACGCAGATTATTAAGGATTTTTAAATAACATTTAATTGTCTTTGGTTTGAAATCCCTTCTATGTGAATTCTTTTATTACGATCAGATTCAAAAGTGTGAGGAAAACGTCCGATGCTATAGTGCACAGTTGGGTAACATTTGTATCAGACGAAGCCACTTTAAATTAAGCAGTAATAAAGGAAGTCGCATAACTTGATATACCTAAAAATGCGACTTTTGTGAAATTACTATACTTTTTGTATATCACTTTATTGCATTATACAGAAATAATGCAAAAAAAAGTTATTTATTAAAATAAAAATTTACAATATAAAATATTTTTGTGGTCACATAAGGCTAATAATTTATAAAATTAATCTTTAATAATTTTTAATAAACAACTACATATATTTAAATACTGTTTCAAGTAAAAATAATAAAATAGAAGTTTGTTTCAATAAATGTATTACATTGTGAAGAAAAACAATAGAAATGTAATAATATCAATTTATAAAAAACCAACATAGCAACAGTATGTAAAATAATGTTAAAATTCCATGGAAAATGTAATTTAGTGGGATATTTGCATTTGTTTCTTTCATGATAGTAAATGAATATTTGGATCAAGCTTCGTAACGGGCAGCCTTAGTAGATCGTCTAAATGAGCATCTGTAATTTGCTTTCTTAAACTAATTTTAATTTTTGTCATGAGAGAAAATGTTGTCTAGCAGCAATAAGTACTTCCAAAGCAAAGAAAACGGCGTGCATGCTCTTATAGGCATCGCTATTCAAAAGCACTTTTCCAGATTTCTATGGGATCCTTATTAGCGTCAAAAAGAGATTTGAGGATATCTTCCAGCAACTCAAATAACTCCATTTGCAGTTGCTTGCGTAGGAGCTTTGGCCATATCTACTAAATGTGGTTCAAATGCCAGGCTCATAGCAGAAGTGTGCTCGTCAAAATCCGAAAATCTTTTTCAGTATATTCTTCTCTTAAAAAGTCCAAGATACCTATATATTCATTGAAAGTTTTATTTTTATGTTTTTACTCATTCAACATTCTTGCTAGCTCCGGGAAGTGTTCTACAGATATATCCGACAAGAAAGCAATGTTTTAAAAAATACGAGGGCTGTAAATTAAGTAATAGCAACATAGGTATAAATCAATTTTTAATGAACTTACATGTACAATTGCATTACATTCCTTCTATGTAATCACCAGCAAAGCTTATAACCTTTTGAAAAATGTCGGGAAGCCGTTGTAGACCAGTGGCAAGGTGTTGATTGTTGATGTGAGCGACCGAGCGCCCTACTGCGTGGAGTACAGATGAAACGTCATGAAATCGGTGACCTCGGAGGGGTTCCTTCAACTTCGGAAACAGATCGAAGTCACAAGGACTCATGTCGGGTGAGTAGGGAGAGTGTTCCAGAATTTCCCACTGCCACCGTCGCAAAAGGAGAGTGGCATTGTTTGCGACATTGCAACGAGCGTTGTCATGCAATACGATAGGAAGATTGTTCTGCAATAAACGTGGACGTTTGCGCCGCACAGCCGGACGCAGATGGTGCTGTAGAAATCGACAATAGTAATCTGCATTGACAGTTTGTCCTTCAGGTACAGCATGTGTAAGAGTCACCGTCCCAGTCGTAGTCGACGTGGCGAACCTTGGTGACGCCATTCATTTGATTGACGCTTTAATTCAGGCTCATAGGTTCGTGTCCATGTCTTATCAATGGCGACAATACGCTGCAGAAATGCGTTCTCCTTCATTGCGGTATCTCTCCAAGTGGGTGCTAGCTTGGTTAGTCGATGTGGAATCCAGCGGGAAGCAATTTTCCTCACGTTGAGAGATTTCTTCATTATGTGCCACACCGTTTGATGACTCAGACCAACCTCTAAGGATAATTATCGAACAGTCCATCGGCGGTCAGGATAAGGTAATAATCAGGATAAGGTCAGGATAAGGCGGATCGGTAAGGAGACCGCTCAGGATGTCAATCTGCTCTTGAGGAATGGAGGGCCGACCTGTGCGTTGCAAATCCACAGTCTCATTCCGATCCGAACGAAATGCTTGAACCCACCGTGTTACTGTCCTATACGGTAAAGCATTTGTGCCACAGGCTTCCGCTAATCCTCGATAGCATTCTGTTGCATTTTTGCCACGGGGAACCTCAATTTTAAGCCACGACTGTTGATCATCTTTTGAAAACATGCTTTAGAGCGATGGAAACGAAACTCCTCATTTTAACGCCACACAACAACTACCCTTCTAAGCAGATCGACTGTTTTTTGCACTCTACATATCGACAACAGCGCCAGCTCACCGCTCCCATATCCTATTTGCGCATGTCCGCCTTCTGCGAGTTTCAAGGTTAAGTTGACACTATTTAATTTACAACCCCCGTATTAATTTTTTCCGTAACGCTTGGATCTTTTGTTACATTTTATATATATATGCTTCGTTTTACCTTGCAGACATATATTTAAATTGTTTTGTTTTGTCATAATATGAGACAAAAATGCAATGTTTCTGTAAAATGCTTCATCTGTTAGATTACATAGTTTTCCCTGTTCTTGATAATAGTATGCAATTCTTCGTCGTAAAGTTAAAATTTGTAAGTTTTCTCCTGAATTTATAACAGATATTTTTAAGTTTATGCACCTTTCCTTTCTCTCCTAATTTCAGCTTACAATTCCTTACCAGAATGAGTTTTCAGAATCGAGTTAAATGCAAAAGTGGTATTTAAGTCGAAGTTCCACTGACTTCGGGAGAAAGAATCGGAATTTCTGAATAGCGCGCGTTTGCCTTATGACTACGTCTCTCTAAGCTGTTACTATACGCTTGGCCGTATTACGTGCCCTTGATAGTTTCGCTAAGGGCCAACTAGTCTAGATTTGTGTTAGCTTCGGCTAAATCTCTTTAGCTAATCATTAGCTAGTTCCTATTTCTTACACTTTTGAGTTAAAGCCCAAGTGGAGGCTTTGCTGTACACCCTGAAAAAGGGGCCGACTGTATATTTTTATTTTGAGAAATAAAGGGTAATTAACCCTTCTTGAGTTTACGTTTCTATTTCTGAACTTAAGCGATTATTCGCATAGCTGTTCACTAAGTTCCTCAACACTGAGTTAATAGATAAAAGGGAGGAACTCTATATTGGCTCCCAAAGCAATTTTGACGAAACATGCCGTTGGAGAGTGAAAATTTTACGTCGATCCCTCTGACCTTTCAAATTCCTCAACCGCCAGCAAACCCTATGGAGGGATTCGGTTTCATCGTGGAAACAATGCGAGCAGCCATGAAGCCAGCTGCATCATTTGATGGCAAAGGTTCCGTGATAACTTTCCTAGAGCAGCTGAATCTGCCCTTCACTTTACATCCTGTAAACCAGCTACAGAAGATTACAATTGCTACAGTGAACTTAAAAGGCCAGATCCCGAGTTGGCTCAAGGGAATCGGGAATTTCCTGTTAGGGGATCCAGGATAGGAAATCTATGCATGGGAAAACTTTAAAACCGCGCTATTGAAAGCGATTCCTGCAGTCAAAGACCGAGCCAAGCTAGAGGCAGAACTGTTTAGTAAATATCAGACGAACGTCGACGATTTGACGGACTTTATTCTTAGAACAATTCAAATATTTAATTTATTATATGGAAATAGGCAGGATAATGAATTAAGTGAAGTGATTTTGCTGCATCTACTCCCGTCAATTCACGATTTTCTGGAAGTAAGAAACCCTCAGACGCTAGAAAACCTATTTCAACTTGCGGTTAAGTTTCAGAGCAGATGAACAGCTGAAAATGCGCGTTCAGGTAATTTCCGCCATTATTCGAGGTTTTCACCTCAACAGAAACCTCAAAGTAAGCATAATTCTTATCGGCAAGCGGGGAAAGCTGAAAAAACAGATACCAAGAAGACAGGTCAGTCTAAAGCATTTGGAGATCACAGTAAGAGGCAGTAGAGGCAGGGGGGCGGAAAATAAGGATTTAAACTGATCAGGGTGGCCGAGAAGAGGGCCCGGTCACCCCTGGAAGAAACAATCGTCGGAAATTAAATTAAATTCGGTAGTCGTACAAAATTTGGCCTTGCCGGAAATTCATACCTTATTGGGCAATGTTCCTACTACCGCCTTACTCGACACCGGAGCTCAATGCAGCTTTCTGTCGCAAGACTTCTTTAAGAAGAATTTTCGCCGTAACAGATCGTTTAAAATTATGGAACAGAGGGTAACTGACGCCCAAGGAAAACATTATGTCTGCATTGGAAAAGTAGGGCTGCACGTTCAAATAAAGAACGAAATACAAAAATTTTCTGTTAGTGAAGGACCTGTTAAATTCAGTTATTTCGGGTGTCGAATTTTTCCGCGTAGCAAGCGCAAAATTAAATTTTAAGAGCTCTACTTTACAGGTGCATATGGATACTGTTGAAGAAGAGGGGGCTAAGCCAGATGTCGACCTGAACCTTCTCCAGGAAAAGGAGAAAAAAAAGTGGAAAAGGTGGTAAGACAATTTTGTAAATTATTCGATGGCAAACCTGGATTCTGTCAGGCCGTGCAGCATGAGATTAATGTTGGAAATGCCCTCCCCCAATCCGGTCTAAGCCGTATTGCTATAACCAAGTTCAAGAAGAGATATTAGAACAGCATATTAAGAGCATGCTGGAGAAAAAAAGAATTGTTCCGTGTAGCAGCCCCTATGCAAGTCCGGTAGTTTTATGTAGCCAGAAAAAAAAACCC